CAAAATACATAAAATGAAAGAATGAAAGTTGTAAATTAAATTTGAGTTAATTTTTGGATGGAAACAGAGGAATTCTGTTGCTTACCTGTATTTTATACTTTATTAGTTTTTACTAAATTCATGTACCTGTCAACATTTTTCATTTTATTAGAACTTTCTTACTTTTTTATATATTTTTTTTATTGATTGTGGACCAAATGGACGCAATTTTCATATCACTGATAACACACCTGGTAGCATTAACACACCTGGTACCAATAACACACCCAGTACTGATAAACCTGGTACCAATAAGGCACTCAGTACAGTTAAACCTGGTACCAATAACACACCCAGTTCAGATAAACCTGGTACCAATAACACACCTGGTACCAATAACGCACACAGTACAATTAAACCTGGTACCAATAACACACCCAGTTCAGATAAACCTGGTACCAATAACACACCTGGTACCAATAATACACCCAGTACCAATAACACACCCAGTACAGATAAACCTGGTACCAATAACACACCTGGTACCAATAACACACCAAGTACAAATAAACCTGGTACCAATAACACACCTGGTACCAATAATACACCCAGTACCAATAACACACACAGTACAGATAAACCTGGTACCAATACACACCTGGTACAAATAACACACCATATACAGATAAACCTGGTACCAATAACACATGGTACCAATAACACACCCAGTACAGATAAACCTGGTACCAATACACACCTGGTACCAATAACACACCCAGTACAAATAAACCTGGTACCAATAACACACCTGGTACCAATAACACACCAGTACTGATAAACCTGGTACCAATAACACACCCAGCACAAATAAATCTGGCACCAATAACACATCTGGTACCAATTACACACCAGTACTGATAAACCTGGTACCAATAACACACCCAGTACAGATAAACCTGGTAGCAATAACACACCTGGTACCAATAACACACCCAGTACAGTTAAACCTGGTACCAATAACACACCTGGGACCAATAACACACCAGTACTGATAAACCTGGTACCAATAACACACCTGGTACCAATACACACCTGGTACCAATACACACCTGGTACCAATAACACACCCAGTACAAATAAATCTGGTACCAATAACACACCCAGTACAGTTAAACCTGGTACCAATAACACACCTGGTACCAATAACACACCCAGTACAGATAAACCTGGTACCAATAACACACCCAGTACAGTTAAACCTGGTACCAATAACACACCTGGTACCAATAACACACCCAGTACAGATAAACCTGGTACCAATAACACACCCAGTACAGATAAACCTGGTACCAATAACACACCCAGTACAGATAAACCTGGTACCAATAACACACCCAGTACAGATAAACCTGGTACCAATAACACACCTGGTACCAATAACGCACTCAGTACAATTAAACCTGGTACCAATAACACATTTGATACAGAAAACCAATTCACCACATCATGTAATACATTTGAAAACAACACTATCTGGTAAATTTTATAAATTCATTGTGACATCATAATAGTAATGTACAAATCTATAAACACATACCTGTGTCTATTTCACAGGTAACATCCCTTACTTGGATGCCTGTATCTGGACCACAATGATAACTCTGGCCATCAGAATGGCAATCTCCCCACGGTCCGACCTGCCACATGTAATTACGACACCAGACTTCTTCGTTGCATACTCGTGTCTGGACTAACTCGTCCTCTGGCAAGCAGGAACTCCGCACCGGATCTGCATAAGCTAGGATTTTTTTTAAAGTTATTAATAAAAGGTATCCATACAAAGTTCTTATTGTTACTGAAAACAAATGAAAGATGGTTTAATCTCAATTCTTACCTAGTATTTGTCTGGTTCTAGTTTGCACACCACCTTTTTTGCCACATGATCTTGAACACTCTCCCCATTCTGACCACTCAGATACCACGCAATCTGATGGACAAGGGACCTTACAAACCCTGGTTCGCAACGGCCGTTCCAGATGAGAACAATTCTTGGCATCAAGTACGTCATCCATGGCGCTCTTACAGTAGAGTACTCTAACTTGACTGCCCGAACCACATCTACTGTTGCCATAGTCCAGAAAACATTTACTCCAACGCCCTGAAAAAAATATGATGTAAAAGTCAGAATAGAATAGAATAGAATAGAATAGAATAGAATAGAATAGAATAGAAATTTTTAAAAAGGATGTGTTAGAATAGAATAGAATAGAATAGAATAGAATAGAATAGAATAGAATAGAATAGAATAGAATAGAATAGAATAGAATAGAATAGAATAGAAAATAGAATAGAATAGAATAGAATAGAATAGAAAATAGAATAGAATAGAATCACTGAAAAGGAAGGAAACCCTAACTCAAGACTGTCCACAAATGATTATTAAAGTTTCTTGCCATGAGTAACCAGAGAAGCAGTAGTGAAATGGACGACTTCGTTAAATAAACTGACAAGCCCACACTGGTAATGCATATGAATTGTTTTTATTCAACAAACTGCAGTAGTGACAGAATTCCTGTCTTGAATTCCATTCCAGTGAGCTATCAGGGACTAAAATAAAGATCTATTACAGGAACAAACAAACTTATACGTTTCATGCTTATTGAGGCAACATAAAGAAGCAGTCATTAGACATGGAGGAAGACTTAGTGTTCTGTGAAGAATTTGTCACTTTTTTCTGCATCATTTGCGTCAAATGGTTTAAATTAGTGTTTAATGAGGTGATTTTTCCTGAAATCACAAAGTCTATAATGTCGTTTACTCACTATGACTAAATCCCATGCATGTTGCATTAGGGGGTCACCCATTAGAAACTTAGGAGGGGTGGAAGAATTGGGGAAAAAAAAAAAAAATTGCACTAGAAAAAAACTTTGAAAGAATCTTGGGATCAGTAACAGAAAAAAAAATCTTGAGGAAAAAAATTTCCTTGTACCGGTAGTATAGAAAAAAAAATTACAACCAATTTAATCATGGAAACAAAAATTAGTAAAAAACTAAGTGAAGGAAAAAATCTGTACACAATATTTATGATCACCCCCTCCCAGAGTTTCAAATGGTCTACCCCTTATCTCAAAGTTTCAAATTACAACGCAACACACAGCTGTATGACATGATAGATGACTCACCTGTGTACCACCATACACAGTCCACACTTTCACATTTAGTACTCTGCAGTAGAGGGCCGCAGTCACGACCTCCATACATGGCAGGAACTAGCACTTCCCGCTGACGAACCTTCTGTCCACCATCTCCGCAACTCTGAGAGCACGGGGACCAGTTCTGCCATTCGCCAACTTGGCAGTTTTGAGGGCAGGCGACCTGGCAGGCACGCTTTGATGGGGGCTTCTGTTTGGTGGAATTTGTTGATACATCTGTTGACGATCAAGAAAAAACAAATATTTTTAAAATTGTGTAGAGAAATATTAACCTTTCATCACCAGACTTTACTCGCCCAAATTTGTCTGCACTTTTTTTCTTAAATTCATCAATATTTTTGGAAATGAACTCTCATTTTCGAGTCAACAGACAATATTTGAGTAAATTTTCAGTTTTTACTCAAAAAATTTGGGCTAATCTGCACTGGCTCGGAAGGTTGTAAATGATTAGCTAGTTTGAATTTGCATAACAATACTGACAATGAACGTGCATTCAACGCCACAAGTTTTTTTGTTTTTTTAGCCAATCAGAATTCATCTTCCGAGCCAGTGCAGATCAGCCGAAAAATTTGGCTGAAGGAATGTGCAGACTATAAACGGGTCTATTTTGTGAATTTGTGATGAATAGAGGGAAACGGTGGTGAAAAGGTTAAATAGGAGAGTGGTCTATTTAAAGTTTGTAGTAATCATGGCATGACCATTTATGGTGTAAACTTTGCAAGTAAAACTTTCAGTCATTACAAGTCTACATTTTACATCATCTGTAATTAATATGATGTACATATTGAAGTCAATGGGCAACTACTATAAAACTTGTCTTTCTAGCTAACTCAACAACAGCTCCCAACTATGAATTTAATATCACTATTGAACATAGACTGTATTAGTCAAGGGAATCTGGTAACTTTAAGCAAGCACAAACAGTAGTTAAATTGGCTTCTGAAACTGATACAATTAAGGCATGACTGCATCACTGCATAGTGTAATGTACACAGGGAACATTCCGCAGTTTTCAGTTGACACAGCTGACTTTAATTGGCTGCACACCAACCGGTGATTACATGACTTTGATGCAGTGTTTCTAGTATCCACACACTTAGCTGACCCCAGAGGTGAAAACAAGAATGGCAGGAATTTTTATGTCTGGCACTTGACCTTGTAGTCTTTCCTCTTCAACTACCCCCACCTTAATGGAAAAGGAGGGGGGATTGAATAAACACTTTCTTTTGAATGGATTGGTTTTCAATTGATATATGTAGCTGTGAGCAGGATAAAAAGTGTGGGGTAAGAGTTGTTTTTCCAAGATCAAAGCAAGTATTATGGTTTCTTATTACACTATTACAGTACAGCGATCAATTTCAGTGAAGTATAGTTCGTAAGTTCTAGTCACTCAGCAATAAACCACTAGAAAATAAATTATTGGCCTCAAAGACCAATGAAGACGATCACTGAAGGACAAGAGCTGACACGTTTTTATTTCATGCATCATACATGTATATTGATATCATAAGCATACTGTGAAATATGTATGGAGGCAGTATAGTACAGCGATCGTTTCAACCAACGCAAGGTAGAGGTTGATGTGATCTTGTACTGCCCGAGTGCATATACGTGTGATAACCTTATTACTGTATTATCATTTTATTTTTCCCTGTTTGCAGAAATAATTTAATGAAAGATAACTGACAGAAATGTTAACACAGTGGCACTCAGTAATGTGCGCCTTCTCTGTTCAATTTAAACAAAGGAAAGCGTTTGAATGTAACATCATTATCCTGGTGGTGACGTAGTTCACCCCAAACGATGTATATAGCTAAATTTTATTCAGTGTTTCAGGTGCTAGATATAGATGTTTTATCAAACATAAAATCGTTTGCTGTCGTTTGGGTTCGGCAAACAGGTAAATTGTTATTAGGCTATAAGATCTAATTTACAGACATCGAGTGCAAAAGAAAAATGTCTCCATTACATACACGTGTCAAATTTATGGTCCTATAACTTGCATGTACATGTATAAGCTGTGGGTTTTTTTCCTGCAAACTTTGATCTGCTTGTCAATAAATATGTAGTGCAGATTTGCACCATTTATACCCCCTTTGCCAAATTAATTTTCTTATGAATATATTAATTAACCCTTAGTGTACCAAAGTCAACTTTTGTCATCATTCACAAAATAAACACACATAATTTTCTTTTTCCGTTTTTTTTATTAAATTTTTACCAAAAACCTGTAACTAATGGGAAGTCGTGTCCCTTTAGTCCAAAACTGACAAAAAAACTGTAGAAAATACAAAGTGTTGCCACCAACATAATGGCAGGTTGATAGGGTTTATATATAATTGGGCTCATACAGCTAAGCTAGCTAAGGAGTTGATGTCAAATGCTAGACAATTCACCCCAAATTTAACAACTTCAGAGTGAATGGAAGCAAATGTGAATACAAATGTAACCCTACCAAATGCAATGGAACACAGTTGAGGATGATAGGTATGATAATTAGCCTGGAAAGTTCAACTGTGATACACTGGCCCTTACCCTAATACAACAATTAATAAGTATGTTGTATCTCTACCCTCTCTATGTCCAGGGTGCCTAATATATGTATATCTTGACTGTCTCCTTGAGTGTAAGTTTTGTGAAGTGTTTATATTGGTTTCTTTCTAAATATTAGAAATGTTTACAAACTTCACTTATTGAACTGTGCTAGAATTACTGTACTGGAGTTCAATGTAAATACAATTTAAGACTTGCGGGCAAGATCAATGTCCACTTTTCTTTCAAGTTCTAAACCAAAATTAGGCATGGTTTAATCAAAGTGCTGAGGATATCATTTACCTGCTTTTCAGTGATATGACTAAAGGACCAAACAGTCAAAACTCCCAGAGGAAGCTATGAATTCAACGCAGGGACGAGTGTGGGAAATTTGCGTTAAATTCAAACATAGACAGATCTGAAGTATGCTCAAAATGGAATATGAAAGCTTTTCCTTTTAGCCTTTTCTCATCAACTGATCACAACAATTTATTACCTTCAAATTTACATGCTGTGCTGCATTACTCACACAAGGCTGATATACATGTTTACATTCCTGTAGTCATCTATTATTACAAATATGTTTGTTTTTTTCTCATGCCAAGATTTAAAAAAAAAATTATAATA